ATAATAATAATAATAATTTTATGTCTATCAATCCTATTTAAACGTTCTTCTTTTTCTCTTTTCATTTGTAAAAAAAAGAAAGAAAACAAATGGGAGGGGGAGGGCGCCTTTGAAGGTATAAAATTGTAACATTTATGTTACTAAAAGCTTTCAATAAAGTATTCTTCTCTTGTACAATGTTTTACTGTATATTGTCTTTTTTATTTTCTCATTTTTTCCCAATTTTTGTTGTTGTTGTTGAAAAGGCTTGATTCTGAACAAAGAAAGACCCACATTTATGAACTTTTCCGCATACGTTCTATTTTCCTGCAAGATGAAAAAGAAATAAAAGTTTGCAGGTAGGTACTTCGATTCGCATTGTTATTTCAGCTCCTCTAATAATTCTTCCTTGACATTTATTAGATAAACGCAAACAATTTATATATGAGATGAGATCTAGAAAGCCGAGATAATAGAATGCGGTTAGAGCTGGGATTGGGGACTTGACGAAATTGCTTATTCTTTAGTCGCAATTAATAACTCCTAATACGCGAAGTCATAAAATACAGTCTTTGTTTGGTGAAGAGATACAATCATCAAATTTATTATGGAAAAGACCAAATAAAATTAGAGCCTCTCCACAAAGCTTCTGAAGTGTCCTTGTGAAAAAATCTGGGGATCTTTCATCTGACCCTCTAAGTAAGGAAGTTGGCAAATTGCAGTCGGTGCATTTACTGCGGGACTTCGAGAACAGAATTAGCCTCTCCAGATTGGGCGAGATGAGGGACTCGATAACTGGAAATCGGCGTGAAATGAGGGAAATCGATTAGAGACAGCGGTGAGACAGCGGTGAGGCAGTTTCCAGCCTCTTGACTAAAGCGACGTATCGATCCCTCCACCCCAGCTCGGTCCAATACGGGATGGATTCGCTTTGTTTTCTTGTCTTGTTTGGTTACAAATAACTTTATGATAGAACATTTTAAAATATTACAATAGCAGACTCTACAGACTTTTGTATTTGCTTAATTAACGTTTAAACTTTATTGTTTGTATGAGTCTTTCTTTTATTTTGTCAAGTTTTCACATACATGTATTGTATGTAGCGTCTATGTACATCACCTTTATTACATATAATTATAATATACACAATTATGTGTGTGAATGTGTGCATGCGTGCGTAGGTGCATGTGTGTGTGCGTGCGCGCGCGCGCGTGTGTGTGTGTGTATGTGTGTGTGCGAGCGTGCGTGCGTGTGTAAGTACGTTTGTGTTAACGATAAAGTCTGTTCGTTCCTTTGCTTTATACACATTACGTGCTACAATTCATGTGTGTAAATTATTCTATTTATTCTCTCGTTTGTTTGGGTTTTCCTTTTCTTTTTCCTTACCCTTTTCTTCTTTTTCGATTTTTTTTTGTGTTCTTTTTTGGGTGTAGTAGTTTTTACATTAGTTGTAGTTGTAGATATTATTGTTGGAAACATTACTATATTATCACTACTGTCACTATCACCATTATAATGATTATTTACTATTAGTTCTGTTATCGCTATTATTATAAACAATACTTTAAAAAAAGAAAGAAATATTCTTATTAGTGTTTTTCTTATTATCAAATATCGGTTTTTATGGCCTTTTCAAAAGATTATTCTATTTAGTGTCATCACCTTTACATATTACCATCAGTGTCATCCTCTAAATCACATATCGTTTTAACCCTTTTCCCCTAAAAAAAACCCAGTCCAAACAAAAACAAAAAACAAAAAAAAAGAAAAACAACCCCCCTAAAAAACACAAAAAACACAAAAAAACCCCAAAACAACAACATCAACAATAACAACAACAAAAAGAAAAAAAAAAGGAAAAACAAGAACACCACAGGGTTAAAAATATGGACTCACCTGTCCCTGGGAGAAAAGAACCCGCCTCTTGCGGCGCTGTGCGATGGAGAAGCCGGCCATCCCCCCCTTGGTGGGGTCGCCCAGGTGCGTCATGCCCAGGGCCGGGTTGATGCTGGATGACATGCCTCCCATACCTCCCATGGAGGACGCCATGCACGAACTTGGGCTCATTCCGAATCGGGACACTGTGGGAGATACACGGGATAGGAATATGGTTAGTGACGAAAGAGGGATTTGATTTGTGATAGTTTCGTGCTGCGAGATAGATAGATAGATAGATAGATAGATAGATAGATAGATAGATAGATAGATAGA